TGCAAAATATTTTCTCCCTTTCCATAGGTTGCCTTTTCACTCCATAGGTTGCCTTTTCCTTGGATTTTTATCATTTTACAGTCTCTTACAAGAATTCAGTCAGGACTCCTAGAGTAAACCAGATTTATTCCTGCCTCTGGCTATGAGCAGAGGGTTTCTGTGTCCTAATGCCAACACTGACTGATGAGGAAACTGAGACAGAGAGGTTACTGCCCAGTTCATTCAGTTCATTAGCAGCAGAGGTTACCTGGATTGCCTAGCCTTGAGATGCCCAGTATTTATGCTACATCACAGGGGGATTTATTTTTGTTCCCCTACTTTGGAATTCTGAAAGCGAGATGCATCCCATCTGGAGTTCTGTTACATCTGTGGGTGTAGAAACACTGGATGGAGCAAATGAAAGGGAGCTGATTACTCATCCTCTTACCTTAAGCCACAGGCTAAAGCCAAGAGGGCTTAGGGGGCATGCACACTGTTCTGTAAGCCAGATTTCCTCCTTTTAAACTTCCCGTTCCTTGATCCAAGGAAGTGGATAAATTGAGGTATTCATAGGGCCAGCCTTTGGGGTACCTTTCAATGGGAATTTTGGCAGTGCTTACCTGAATGACTAAGTGAGGTAACTGTCATATGCTTTATCTTTGCAAAAGCATCATCATCTGAATAACCTCAGGATCCTCTGTGAAGAGGAGAGAGTACTCAGGTACTCAGGGTAGAGAGGGGGACCAGTGGGAGGAACACGCTTCCTTTTCCTAGGTCTGGCTACATATATGCTCACGAGACTGGCGGGCTTGTTGAATCTAAGGTTAGAATAGTTACTTATTTTTGGCGGGTAGTGGAGCTGAATCCTGTTTATCCCTATTTGCTCCAGAATGCAGTATGCATGTGCATAAGTGGTGACTATGATATGGATGCAAAAATCAAGCAGTATATCACTAGCTTGACTAATACTGTGAGTTTTATTCTAGGTCTTTGTTAACCCAACACAGAACAATGGATTTTTATTGTTTTAGAAAAAACACAAAACTCTGTTGTTATATCTTTATTTGCCTCAGCCTGGGCTGAAACTAAATCCCTTTTGTAGATGTTAAATGTTGACTTCTAGACCGCATGGAAGACAGCTGAGGCATTATGCAAACAGCACTTAACGTGGAATCAGAAGACATTAGTTTGAATTCAGGTTCTGCCTCCTGCTAATTGGGTGATGTTGGGCAAGTAACCTTTCTGAATCTCCCAGAGTTTTTGCAAATATAAATGAAATAGTTTATATGAAAGTGATTTGTAAATTAAAATTTTCACAAATGTGTTATATGACTATTAACTGTTCTTAATATTTTATTTCCATAATCTATGGAATCTACTGTATTACTCGGCCTTGGATTAAATTCCCTAGGTCCTTGTTGGAATGTTATATGATGCAGGCTCTGCATGGCCTCATGGAGCCTGCAGACTAGTCAAAGGGAGAAGTCCTGGGCACTTAGGAAGTGTCCCCACTGTACACATTGTTTGCTTTACTTCTTTTAGCCAAGAGGCTTCTTTAAAACATCAGGCCAGATTTGCTGGGCTCTAGGCTTGTGAGCCCCAGTGAAGAGGCCAGGTGGGAGGGTGGGAGGAAACAGGGTCTGCAATGGCAGAGGAGAGCAAGGAAGCCAGCTGGTGAGGTTGGAACCGGGAAACTTCCAAATACACAGGGAAGTTAGACTGGGGTTTATTGGCCTCTCTCACCAGAAATCAAGCTACGTGTTCGTTCTGGGGACCAGAGGGAGCTGCCACACGCATACTTCATAGACTAACTGGACAGAGATTTTAGGGGATCCAAACAAAGAGAAACAGTGGTGACCATGTCCAGGAGTTACCTGGCAACTACTGCATTCCCACTAGTTCACCTGGCTCCCTTTGGGTCAGTGCAGAGATGGAGCGCTCCTTCATTTAACCTTTGGGAACCAGGGCAGAGCTATCAGGATGCTCACCAAGTTAGCTCGCATATTTTTAATTAAAAAACAAATTAAAAAATCTGTTGAACATACACCATAGGCTAGGCCTAGTCTAGACCAGGAAGATATAAAGTTGAGTAGGATACAGAATGTTTTCATGGAAAGCTCACATAGAGGGAGAGACAGTGACATGTACAGCTCACCAAAATAAAGGTCTGGCTGTAAGATGAGCTGTAAAGAGACAGAGGGAAGGTAGAGTGGAGGCCAGAAGACAGGGCACGGGGGAGAGAGAGGAGGGGAAAGCTAAACAGAAGAGGTGACATTTCAACCTGGCCTTGAAGAAGGATTTTGACAGACTCAGGCATTTAAGAGGGGATTTCCAGGCAGAGACACAGTGTGAACTAAGCCTTGAGAGCCCGCACTGCATTTTCCAGAAGAGTGAGAAGTGTGCTGTGGTTAGAGCATGACCCTGGTGGGCTGCAGGGAGCCAGGGGGTGGATGGGAATGACGAGAGATGAGGTTTGAAAAGAAAGGTTTGGATCAGACTGTGAAAGACTTTGAAGGCCGTGTTAGGTGTTTGTGCTTCATTTAGCAGTGGGTGGAGGAGCCTGAGGAGAAGGGGAGGATAGAGTAGAGAGAAGATGGAATTTAGAACATCTGAAGGTCATGGTTCCTCTTAGCGGCTGTGTCCTTGGACACTTGCCCTCTCAAAGGGCCACTTAACTCCCCTTAGATTCAGTTTTCTGAGCTAGAAAATGGAGATGTTGGTAATAATGCTCAGCCTAGATGCTGAACGATTATTGTGTTCCTCTGGTCATAGACTGCTTAAATTCTCCTTTTTCATGGTCTTGCTCAAAATATTGCGTCTTCGGTAAACCTTCCTGGATTCTCCAAGACTGTAGTTGAAAACTCAAGACACATATGAAGACGCATATGAAATGATAAAGCAGCATACACGTATGCCACTAGACTCACCAGATATGTGGGGCAGGAGCTCGGGCTCTCTGTGCACACAGGTCTGGGGGCCAGTCCTGGCTCCATTTCTCACTTCAACTTGAACAAGTTGTTTAACTTTTAAATTAAGGCTGAAAATGCCTGTTCTACCTTCTTCTCAGAATGGTTGTGAAGATTAAATGAGCACAATGTACGAAGGTGCTTGGAAATGAGGAAGTCCTCCACAAATACTGCTAGCTGTGGTTATTATTTTAGGTTTGGAAGTGATCAGATCCAATGAGTGTTTTAGAAAGATATCTCTTATAGTTGTGAGAGGGACAAAAGGAAGGGAAGAGAGACAGGTGGTTGAGACTGGTAGATGATGTCGCAACAGTCCAGACAGGAGAAGATGAGGTCCTGGACCAAGGCATTGAGGACAAAGAGGGAGGGTGGATCCAAATGCCCTTTTGAAGATAGAATCAGCAGAACAGTGGCACTACTTGGACGGGACGGGTAGGGAAAGACAAAGAGCCAAAGGAAGAAACTTTGGTAGATAGTGACACCATGAACCAAGCCAGCCCCTAGTTACTTTCTAACTGATGAAATCCAGAAAAGAAAGTGAGGGAAGAGATGCCCCAGGGCTTGAACTCTGTTACCCTGACTCTCACTGGCCCTGGCACTCTTCGTTTTCACTCTCTCCCTCTCCCCACAATACCAGTTAGTAGAATCTGCTGAACCTGAAGCCAAGCCCAGGAGAGTTGCTCCTTCCAGTGTGCCGTATCCCCATGCCCTCAGCCTGACTATGACCGTTATAAAGTGTCTGTGCCCAAGGAATCCATCTCTGTCTTGGCAGGAGGGGCCAGCTGAGGTGTCTCCCCTTCCTCTGCAGTGGGGCTGGGACACATCTCTCAGTGCCCAGCTCGTTTCTTCCTCCCTGGACATGAGGGAGTAGCTGGCAGGACCCACAGTGGGCGCTGGGCTCCCTCATCTCCAGGCTGAAGCTCTTTTTTTATGGGGACTATCTTGAGTAAATGGAACAGCTTCTAGGGCAGTAGGAGAGGGCCCGAGCCAAGGCTGGGAGGCACTGCACTAGCAAGGGGCATTCTAGCCTGGAAGGGTGTTTGGTGATGAGAAGGGCATTGGTAGAGGTAGTTTCTGGAGGGGCCTAATAGCAAAGGAATATTTCTTGATCCCGATTTCCTCCCCCATTGAATTTGATCATCTTCCTCTCTGCCAGGAAGCCCTCCTTCCTCTTCTCTCTTCTTTTTCCCATGAGGCTTTAGTCTTTCCATCGTCTTGTGCCACAGAGTGACTCTGGTCCCCCTGTGCCTGTCAGTGGACCCTGTCTTCTCCCAAACCCTCACCTTGGCATTCCCTCTGACTCCTCATCTCTCCTCCACCCCACCAATCTTCCCTCGTCTTTCCACTGGAGCCAGGTGCCCTTCTCATGTCTCTTCCTTTCTGTTTTGACCTCCATCAGCTATCTTCAAACAGCGTTTCAGCCCCTCTAGGCATCAGTGCCATTGGTCTTCAGTGGCAGCCCTTATTGAGCACCACAGGATACAGGGCACCCGAGGAAGCGTAGCATTCTGGTCAGAGTTCAGATCCCAGCAAGTTACTTCCCTTCTCTAAGCCTTGCTTTCCCTGTCTGTTAAATAGGAGTTTAACAGTGCTTACTTCATCGGGTGGGTGTGAGGATTAAATGAGTTAATGGGCATGAAAAACTTCATACAGGGCTGGTACATAATAATTGGTCAGTGTACATTAATAACTGGTATTAAAAGCACAAAAGGTAGCTGTGCCCCTCGAGGGTTAAGGGCCTTGTTGTGACTGGGGAAATTTTTGAAACCTAGTTTGTGGCATGACTAAAGAAGTACCTTCCAAAATAGAGCATGCAGAGGGCGTGAGGGCTGATGAGAATGAAACTAATCCGGGAAGGCTTCTCGCAGGAGGCTGCAGGAAGTGCGCTTCTATGCGGTGTCTTAGGGAGATCAGAGTTGCAGCCAGGGACAAAGGCAAAGGGAAATGGGGTGGACAGAAATGGCTGCTCAAACTCTCCATTTTTCTACTTGCTTCACCTTTTTCTCAGTCACGGCACTATCCAAACCTGATGCATCTTACCCTCCTTGTCCACAGGGAATTTGCCAAAGAGAGAGAGAGAGTGGAGAACCGGAGAGCTTTCATGAAACTGCGGCGCCAGCAGCAGATTGAGCGCGAGCTGAACGGGTACCGCGCCTGGATAGACAAAGCAGGTGAGACCGGTGGGCTGGAGGAGGCTGGTGGGCTGCACGGACGTCACGGACCTACCCCGCTTCTCGCTCCCAATACTTCCATTCAAAGGGGCAGCCTGGACCAGAGCAGAGAGAAGCTCGAGATGCCTCACTACTTCTGTGGGCCCCCTGCTGGTCCCACTTTCTTTCTCTGGGATCTAACTCTCCCTGTTCTTCTACCAAACTTCTTTTAAGAGGCAGGCATTTTAGCAAGGTGAACTGAGCAAACGGTAACACAGGCCAACCCTGGAGCCGAGGTCGGGCTGATTTCATCTTACACTGCTGCTAATAATAACTATCCGTTCATTCCACAAATATTTACTGATTGCTTACCTTGTGCCAGGTCCTGTTTCATGCACTCAGGATACAGGAATGAGCCAAAGCTCTACTCCCGTGGAGCTCATTACCCTCTAGCTAGGGAAGGCGGCGGTGAACAAAACAATAAATAAGTAACTTGTAAGAAGGTGGTAAGCACAATGGAAACAGATCAAGGTAGGGTTCTGGGTATAGGATGAGTTGTAATTATAAATAGGGGAGTCAGGCAGACTTATTTGGGGGTGACTTGAAGGAGATGAGGGGTGAGCCACGGGAAGATCTGAGGGAGGAATATTCCAGTGCCAAGGCCCTAATGTGGGAGCAGTCCAGGAGCAGAAGGGGGAGTGAGCGAGGAGAGGGAGGAGGGCAACCCTTGGGTGAGTGGGCAGCAGATGGTGTGTAACCTCGTGGGCCATTGTAAGGGATGGGGCTTTCCTGTGAGTGAGACAAGAACTGCTGGAGGGTTTTGAGCAGAGGAGGGACATGCTCTGATTTAAGATTTTCAAGGAGCCGTTGGGTGCTTCATTGAGGAGGACAAGGCTGAAAGCGGGGAGACCAATTATAAGGCCACTGCAGGAAGCCAGGTAGTAGATGATGGTAAACTGGCTTTTCCTATTCCCTGAGCTGTCATCAGTTCCTCACTCTCTGGATCAGCATCAGGAATAATTCTTGCCCAGCCCCGAGGATAGGTCCAAACCTATCGTGATTTCGTTAACTCACAGAGCCACCAGATTCGAGTTTGACTGCGGCTCAGCTGCTTATAAGGGGCATCAATCACCCTATATCTGTCAAAAGTAAAAAGGATGCATTTGTTTTGCTTATTATTTTAAAAGTTGCATTGCATTGGTGTTATATATCTTCATTTTATTCCTGAGCAGAGTAGTTTGGTTTTTTTTTAATAAAAAAAGACACATGACAGTCACCATCTTTTCTCTGTTCCTGGTAGAAAGTATAGCACAAATGTGAGATCTGTCAGGAAGAATTTGGAATATGATTTGATGCTTAGTTGCAGCCTTATTCTTCTATAGGAGCTTTGGAATGACACTGACGCTCTTATTCTAAGCAGCAACACACTAAAGTTCTCTCTCAGCTCCGGAGTCCACGTTTGATGATCCAGGTGAGAGAGCAAGTATGATTGAAAGTCTCATTTCAAAGCCAGGTCAAAACTGCCCCCTGTTTGGGACCATCTGCATTTCTTTGCTGCTTCTGGAGGCATGAGTCATGTGCATTCTCTGCACTTCCGTTTCGCCTTTTCTCCTCTGAGGCTCTTGCTTGGGGGTGAACCTCCCCTCCCTCTTCCCAGAATGGTAACTCAGGCTTCCTAAGCAGATTTGTTGCCAGGCCGGGCAGGCAGCTTGGAGCTCCCGACTGTCCTTGGCTTCCTGAGCGGAGGAGCCATCTGACAGACCACCCTGGTGAGCGGGCTGGCAGCAGAACCAACAAAGAACCCTCCCCACCCTTCCCGTGTCCCCATTCGGGGTCAGGCAGCACAGGATGCTGCTCTGTGTGGCTCTGCTTTTCCAATACATGCAGAATTCCAAGGTTCTACTTTTTTCCAGTTGGCAAAGCCAGCTCTCTCCTCCTTCTAAGAAAAAAGACGCACTGCGACGTCAAGTTGTGCTTCCTGGCCCTTCCCTCTACAAATGGAGCGTGAGTGAATCAGAGACATATGGGTTACATTTCCCTGGAAAGACACTCTCAAGTTCGAAAGCAACTTGGCAGGAGGCAGTGGGGGTGGGGGCCGTTTCAGCACATGCAGAGCCCTGCAGCACGTCCCAGGCCCAGAGATACCCAGCCATGCCACACCGCCTCCATCTGCCTTGGGGGTCCTCAGATCTGCCCACCCCAAAGCCCAGACCCTATACATAGCAAAAGCGACTCTCTGGCTAAGGTCATTCATGTCACTAGGAGGTGTTTTGACAAGTACCTAATTTTCAAATGTGCCCTCTAAACAATATGCTGTAAATGACTTTAAAACCCTCTGTGTTGGCCTGAAGGAGCATCTCACCAGTAACACTTAGCCTGTTAACTGAGTGTTTCACCAGAGGCTGCACTTAAGGAAGAAAGTTAAACCTTCATGACTTGTTATAATGGCCATCCCGCATGGTACCTCCAAGCCTCAAAATGTTCCCCTCCCCGGGAAATACATTATATACTTTCAGTTTTATATGCAGGTGGAATTATGGTAATGACTTTACCCTCTTCTGCGTGTCCTTTTACTTGTTACAAGTGCTAGAATTAAAGCACTGTTTAACAGGGCTGCTGCCTTCCCTGGCAGCTGGGATCCTAGGCAGTGTTTGCTCAGGCCTCCAGCTCCCTTGCCTACTGCTGAGGTGGGGGTGGGGATGAAAACGCAGGCACATCAGTCCCAGTAGGCGACTCAGAATCCCACCAGACATGGGGCAGAAAGGCTATTTTCTTGGTAAGTTTGGAGGGATGCTAGTGAGGTTTATTGTAACAAGTTTTACTAGAAAATAATATCCCACCGATGATGAGACCTCCTTGGAGTATAGGACTGCTCCTGGGGAGGCAGAGAGGACTGTCCCAGGGACTGTGTGGTTCTTTTCCAAACACCAACAACTAAATATATCATTCCAGCGCCAACCATTCTTTCAATTCTCCGACACCAATTGGGTATCCAACAGTTCAGTTCAATTCTGACACTAAACACCCCCCCGAAGTTAGGGCAGACCCCACAGGTTAAAGGCTCAACCCCGCAATCCTGCCCCCGCTTCACATGCCAGCTGCAAGTGGGGTCCCCGGGTGACCTCATTTCTGCCTAGCCAACTACAAATTTTGGGGGGTTTCCAGGTTTGATAATTCACTAGAATGACTTACAGAACTCAGGGAAAACCATGTTTACTCTCACCAGTTTATTATAAAGGATGCAACTCAGGAACAGCCAATGGAAGAGATAGATAGGGCAAGATATGGGGGTGCCAGGGGCAGATCCTCTGTGCCCTCTCCAGGCACAGCACCCTCCCAGCACCTTGGTGTGTTCACCAACCCAGATGCTCCCTGAGCTCCATTGTGTAGGGTTTTTTTAGAGGTCTCATTAGGTAGACATGATTGATTAAATCATTGGCTATTGGTGATTGGACAATCTCAAGCCCCTCCTCTCTCGGGAGGCTAGATGGGGATGGAACTGAAAGCTGTGAGCTTCTAATCATGTGGTTGGTTTTTCTAGTGGCCAGCCCCCATCCTTAATTGATCTAGACCTCCCCCACAATGAGTCATCTCATGATCATACAAAAGACAGTAAATTCCAAGGGTTCTAGGACCTCTGTGCCAGGAAGGTGGGCAAAACCCAAATATTTATTTTCCAGTATATCTCAGGAACAAATTCATGATGGGCCCAAACCTCTTTAGCTCAGGCTTTGCCCAAGTGAAGCAGGATGGAAGTGGTGGGGGTAAGAGGAAGCAAGCCCACAGGCCCTGCTCCTCTCCTTGAGGGCTGTCAGCAGCTTCCTCTGCTCCCTCCTCAAAGTAGACAGGCGGGGGCCCCAAAGATGGTCTCACCTCCTGAATGAGGGGTAGGTGTTGTGACCTAGGGGCTGCACACAAGAGAAACTAAGGAAGCTCATATTGCTAGAAAAGCTTTAAGGGACCTGGGTAGAAGGAAAAACAGAAATGGAAATTTTTTATTCCTCCAAATGTAGGGGATTTTGGTTAAAAAGATCAGCTCTTCCTCTTGTGGGTATCCTCCTGAACAAGGATCAGACAGAGCTGAATTTTACCAATCATCCCCCAGGCGCCCTCTCACTGAAGAGCTTCCTTTCTGGTCTTATGTGTGCCGGGAGCTCCCTCCTGACCCTCGATGTCTTTCTGATGCTGGTGTCTGCTACAAGCTTTGAACTCTTTGCTCTCTCTCTGTTGCCCTGGAACCAGAGCTGTCCCTGAGGGATTTTCATTTTGCAAAATAATTTGGCATTTACAGATAATTTACTGAACCATTTGTTTCCATATAGAGGAAGTCATGCTTGCTGAAGAAAATAAAAATGCTGGGACGTCAGCCTTAGAAGGTAAGGAAGTGCTCCACGGCCTTACTCATTTGCATTTGCCCCCTCTATGCGTGGCAGTCTCTCTTGATCAAAAGAGGAGAAAGAAATAGAAGAGGGGCACTCTGGGATTTGAAAGGAAAGTCTCTCTGTCATAAAATCCCTCATGCTTTAAAATGAAGGGAATTGACTCATGGCTTTAAATGCTTTTTAAAGTGATGAAAATGAAATCCAAGAGTTGCTTTCTTCCAGGGCGTATGATTGATACTGTGCAATGAAAGATCATCATACGACCAATGGCATTTAAAGGGATCTTCTTTTAAAATTTGTGGGGACCATCTTGGGACCACTTTCCTTGCCGGGAATTGTTTTTGAAGAGCCAGAACAAATAGATATGCAGTGCCTGGTACCTACTGCATTTAGATAAGCTCTAGCGAGGATTCTGGAGCCCTTGTGTCTCAGAAGGTCCTGCTGAGCACAGGAATCACGTTCCTGTAGGCATTCTCCGTGTTTGTAACCCTAGCTCAGCTATTTAAGGTATTCGTCTGTGTCACAGGGGCCTCTTGCCACAGTCCTCAGTTTTGACCATAGTGATCTGGTTGTCCTTGTTCCTTCTCACTGGCCTCCTCTTCCCTGGTGTAGTGCTTCGAAGGGCAACAATCAAAAGGAGCAGAACGGAGGCTATGACTCGAGACTCCAGCGACGAGCACTGTGTCGATATCTCCTCTGTGGGTGAGTGCAACCAGTCAGTTCTTTCACTTCTCTGAATCTCCCCTAAAAAGGAAGGCTCTGTCTTTGGAGAAGCACCACAAGGAGAAAGAGGGTCTAAAGAGTCCAGAACTTAGGGACATAATTAGGAAAAGTCATGGGAGTGTTATCTAGATGACAATGACAGAAAAAAAAAATGGATCGGGGATACCATTTATATGAAACATGGGGTTTAAGGCTAGGAAGCCGACCGAAATCCTTCAAGTGTGGCAGGTGTATCCATTTGCATATATATCCTCTCTCCTGGGTGTGATAATGAGAATCCACTTTGGTATATTATTCAAAGGATCCTGAAGACCTATAGTTTTAGGGACCCCTCTTTGAGAACCTGCAGTCATTTACTCAACCACAGTAGCACCCACCCACTTCCATCCCCTACTTTCATGTGATATTTAAACAAATTCCTACTGACAACCCCTTAACATGAATCCCAGATTCTCTTAGAGGTTCTGGCTGACGTCTGGCAGAGTTTTCCTCCCCAGAAAAGAGGAACGGTCTCACTTCATCCTCAAAAGCAGAAGAAGCTTGTAGAGCTCATTGCTGCTTTCTGCTGCCAGTAGTAGAAATACCACAAATACGGCAGAATGATTCCAGTGCCTGAAGCATATTTAAGAGGAAAGGCCTGGGAGAAGCCCAGTCTATTACAAACATAAACACAATCCTATCAAGATTCAAGACACCAGGTGGATGTCTGTTGTCCTGCCCAGAGATTCCGTCAAATTCCTAGGACTGAATGTGCTCAGAGGAAAGCAGAGATCTCTGATGTGGAAGCTACTGAGCCCCTAATGTGGGGTATCCCCGGGCCTGCACAGTGCTGGTCACCCAGCCTTGAGACTGAAGCTGACTACCTTGACCTCTGAATGCCTTTTGCTGTGGAGGGTGATCTTTTTACAGCCTCATTCTTCCTCCTTACTTCTCCCTGCTTAGGCACACCTCTTGCCCGAGCCAGCATCAAGAGTGCCAAAGTGGACGGGGCCTCCTATTTCCGGCACAAGGAAAGGCTTCTGCGCATTTCTATCCGCCACATGGTTAAATCCCAGGTGTTTTACTGGATTGTGCTGAGCCTTGTGGCTCTCAACACCGCCTGTGTGGCCATCGTCCATCATAACCAGCCCCAGTGGCTCACCCACCTCCTCTGTAAGTGAACGATGATGACTGCCTCTCAAGGGGACAGCATGATTGGGGGTGAATGTAAGAGAGCAAGGCGTTGTGCTGGGCCTGAGCTCCTGCCCAGGGTTCTGCCTCTTCACACCGTAGGGGAGGCCAGAGTTGTCCTCCAGGGGACGGGATGATCACATGACCATTCCCAACTGCCATTCATTATTGAATCAGAGAAACAAATCTCTGCTCGTGAGTCAAGAAGATAGTGTTACATCTTGAGTACCGTGAAGGCCTTCACTTAGTGTCTTAAGGAGGCTCAATGGTGTAGGGAATTTTGGTCACCAAAGTCCTGGGGAGACAGTTCTTAGGCCAGTGGATACCTGAAATGACCAAAAAGGGGACTTGTAGGTCAGCTGTGGGTAAGGCTGCCCCTGGGTGTGAGTGAGGCTCCAGGAGGGTGTGTGTAGGGCAAATCTGGCTCTTTCATCAAAACCATGGTAAAGCCCTTTCTTTCTCTCCTGCGAGCCATCTGCCATTTTAAGGGCAGTGACAAACCCTCCTGTTGAAAGAGAGCAGAGCTGATCTGTGGAGTGTGCCCGGGACTCCTTCTGGGTCAGATGGAATTCAGACGTCATTAGATTTTCCCTGGCACTGACCTGACGTGGTCATGGACCATCCTTGCATGTGTGGGTCCTGCTGGTGTGGAGGGTTCCTCTGTAGGTGAGCGTGTTGGCCTGGGGAGTGCAGGCGCCCCTGCCACCTGTGGAACAAATGCTTCTGCTTTTGATGCTTTCAGACTATGCAGAATTTTTGTTTCTGGGGCTCTTCCTCTTGGAGATGTCTCTGAAGATGTACGGCATGGGGCCCCGCCTTTATTTTCACTCTTCATTCAACTGCTTTGATTTTGGGGTAAGTGCTTGGGAGCCCACCTGTCCTCCTGCTTTGTGTTTATATGCCATGGTTTGAGATACGCAGCTTGCTCCGTTGCTCAGTATGAAGCACTGAAATCAGAATTTATATAGGGGACTAGATTAGATTAGCTAAAGGGAGGTTAGGAATGAGTGAATCCTTGTCATACGAGGGTTTGTTTGGGTTTTTTAAAAGTTCTTTTATTTTTAATGTTTTTATTGAAGTATAACACACATACCATAGAGTGCACACTTAAGTGTATGGCTCAGTGAATTTGACAAAGCCATCCATAGCCAGAGTTTTGAACCACTTATTATCTTGGGGGATGCCTGCGAGAAAAGGACAAAAGACTTCATTCCAGAAGGTGGTTCAATAAAAAAGAGAAGCTTAGATATTTGGGGGTTTTTTGGTTCAGTTTAAAATTGGAACATTGCCTCCATATACTCTCATGCAAGTATGCACATGCGTATGCGTACACACTATTGCTATTCTGCTAGCACGTCGCCTCGCAGACTTTCGTCCAGCGTCCACGTCGTAAGTAATATTGATGTATGAAAGTGTGCCTTTATAGCACTCTTCAAGGTCTTTCACGTACATTTGTGTCCTCTGCTGCTTTCAGGAGTCCTGTCCACTGTCGTCCGTATCAGGAGTTAGCCTGCCCATTTACACAGGGGTAAACAGAGGACATCCTGTACAAGTGCACATGGCCAGTTAGCAGCAGAACTAGGTCGCAAAACTTTGGGTTCCTGAACCACTTCTCTTTCTGCCAAACCGCTTCTTTATCTGCCAAATCTTCAGTTAGGTGCTAATGATTTTGAGCAGTTGCCAATCTGCATTTTAACTGGGAACATATGCTTCTGGGTACGGACAATTTGCAGGCATAACAGCCAGGGAAAGACCATTTTAACCTTAATTTCCTTATATACCTCTTTTCAGCATGGCTGTGAGGATTAATTTTTGTTATTTCTCCTAGTACTGTGCGTAGAATGTAAGACATTCAGGAAGTATATAATTAAAACAAAAAACAAATCGAATTGTTAATTTGATATTGTTACTTCCTATAGCAATCACATTCTGTGCCACCGCGTAGTACTGTCACATTCGGGTACGCGGGACCTGAGTGACTGAAAGATATTTAATAAACAGGTAGCTGAGACCTTCTTGTTAGCGCTAAATTCTAGGACAAGGAGAGGATGTGGACCTTCTCTGATATTTTTATATTGGAATGCAGCCTTTGTTAATTCAAATTTGTTTCCTTGCTTTGAGTACCACTCCTTTGCATTTTAGTTCAAGGTGTTACAATGTAAGAACAGTTATGCTATCAAATTTGTGCCGAAGTGGCAATCGGTGGTTGTACTTTTCACCAAGGACAGAACAGGGCCCAGCACACCAATCTACAGTATGAAGGAGTAAAGTTAGCAGGAGAGTGGAGAGCAGTGGGGAGAAAGATGGTAGAGTCTCATTCCTCTTTGGCAGCCTTCACCACCTCCTGGAGATGGGCTCAGTGGGGAAGGAGAGTTAATTTCCTCATAGCCCAATGAGAACTGTTGATTGCTGAATACTGGAATGCTCCTCTCTCCTCCTCCTTCTCCTTCTCTCACTGTGGCTGGCTTTGGCTCTTTAGGTCACAGTGGGCAGTATCTTCGAAGTGGTCTGGGCAATCTTCAGACCTGGTACATCTTTTGGAATCAGTGTCTTACGAGCTCTCCGGCTTCTCAGAATATTTAAAATAACCAAGTAAGTGATCAGGAATGGAGACTCTTTCCAACCACCTTTGAGAGTGGAAGCTTCTCGCTGTCTTAGTCTATTTCCATCCATCCCCTATTCTTCCTTACCGCATGTTCCTTTTCCCTTCTCTGGCCCCCACTCCATTCTTCAGCTCTTCCTCCTTGTCCAAAGTTCAAACCAGAAAAATATCTTTGATACCAGATCCTGTGCCACATTCCCAAGGGGAGCCACATTGTTGCCACCATCTCCTTCCTATAAGTATACAATGCAGCTTATTTCACAGACCACCAACCAGATGCCCAGCTGGACTTGGGGATAACTTGGTATTCAGTGCTCACTGCTGTAATGTCATCTGGGTTTTGTAGGTACTGGGCATCCCTGCGGAATTTGGTGGTCTCCTTGATGAGTTCCATGAAGTCGATCATCAGTTTGCTCTTCCTCCTCTTCCTCTTCATTGTTGTCTTTGCTCTTCTAGGAATGCAGCTGTTTGGAGGCAGGTAAGCACCAATGAGCTTTCCATCCAAAGGAGCCTTGAAACCCAGCCTTCAGCCTGTGAGCGCCAGGGTTACTAATTTGATCACCATGTTAACATCTTGTTTGCTCTTGTCCATGGCCCAAATCGACCACTGAGTGTGTGTGTGGAACAAATGTCCCTGCTTTTAATCTTTTCCCACCGTTCTTATTCCAGGGACCCGTCCCTTTGGAGTTGTCCCTGAAATGTCCAGCATGGGGCCTTGTAACTCAGGATCAGCCCAAACCCCATCTCATTACCCACACTCTCCAAAGTGCATAGTCCATCAGTCGTAGTCACTAATACCATCTTCATGAGTATATGGAATGAGGGAAAAGTAGGGAAGAAGGGGATATGGAAAAGGGGAAAAGAAGTGATGAAAACTGTATAATCTTGGAAAGGGAAGACTTGTTGTGTGAGATTTTCATTCTATTCTTCTCTCTGAATATTCTTTTCAGGTTTAATTTTAATGATGGGACTCCTTCAGCAAACTTTGACACCTTCCCAGCAGCCATCATGACTGTATTCCAGGTATAAGGCCAACTAGCAGTTAAAAATGTGATGTGGGATCCCTTTGTCCACAGACTACAAGATGATGATGTGTTAGGAGGATCCTACTTTTCCTCTCCAGGCTCCTCCCAGGCAACTGGATGCTCTTATTTGTTGAGTAATCATCACCACAATAATCTCTAGGATTTCTATAGCTGTTCTTACAAATTATGGAAGAGCTCTACTGTCACTACCTCATTGGCTTTCTCCCTACACTTGTGAATTTGCAAGAGAGAAGTCTAAGACATTGAGTAACATATCGCATTGATGATTTTCTGAAATCTAGAATCATCTTCTAACCTATGCGTCCATTTATTGAAGTATCTTTTCCTCTCATCTCCCCCCGCCGTACACACACACAAAAAAACCTTTTTAAATCATAGGGGAAAACTCAAAATCAATAAGGTCTCAGAGCTAAAGAAAAACACTTTTTAGCCAGAATCTGAAGCTGAACCAGAACCCAACATCCTGACCTCCTGAACTCCTGGAACCCATGAGGCACTTTGCAGTAATGCTACTGTCTCAGGAACTGTATCTTGGCAGCCCTGGGGACAGTGATCAGAACACTGATCTGTGATTCTCACAGTCCTGGCAGAGCTGGAGGTTGGAGAGACTCCATAGTTTGAAGACTAGACTCTTTCCTTTTGGTGCTTTCCTTCCATTTTCAATGCCTAAAATTCTCTTCCATGTCAGAGGAAAATTGAAGATTATTCATGGGAGTGACATTTTTTTTCCTCCTTGTCAGGATGGCCAGGCAAGGGGATAGAAGTCCCAGGCCCAGAAAGTTTTCCTTTATGTTGGCCCCGTTTTCTCAGCCAACCCAGGTGTCTGAACTTGTCTGTTGTTTGTTTTACGTAGATCCTGACTGGTGAGGACTGGAATGAGGTGATGTACAATGGGATCCGCTCCCAGGGTGGAGTCAGCTCAGGCATGTGGTCGGCTATCTACTTCATTGTGCTCACCTTGTTTGGAAACTGTATCCTTTTAAAGAAGCTCCTCTTTGTGCTGCCTGCCTGCCCAGATGAACATTTGAGGTGGTGGTGATAGAACTAGGTTAGGGAAGGGAAGGAGGCTGGACATGGCTCAGTATACTAGGGGAACCAAGGGTCCTGATCTTAAGGAACTTATCCACTAGTTAAGTAAAGACGACAAATATTAACAAGATAGAGTACTATCTAAATCTGCAGCATACACAAATAGTAATACATGAGGTTGTTATAGTGGATGGCTGGAGATGCTATGAGCTGGGGAAAATACGAGAGGACAGAAACATGGTAGGCTGAAATAATGGCCAGATTATACTACTAGTGAGTGAATTACATGTTAATATAGAACAGCCTGCCACATAGTAAGATCTCAAGAAATTAGTGTTACAATTAATGCTAATACTACTGAGCATAGCTTACGTTTATTGTGTTTGTGCTATTCATGACACCCTGTGTTAAGTGTTTTACAGGCGCTATTTCATCTAATTTTTACCTTATAAGACTTAGAAGAAATAACTTGATCAAAGTCAAACAACTACTAAGTTATAAAGGGAAAGCAGAAAGCAAGTCCATTTAACTGCAAAGCCCATGCCTGGTCACAGGATCTAGACGAGGAAGATTTAGATTTTAATCCTAGGAACTCTGTGTACCAGCTTTGTGGCCTTGGGAAAGTCACTTAATCTCTCTGACCTTCTAGTTTTCACATCTGAGAGGAAGGTAACAATACCTATCTCGTTTGTTGTGAATAGTCAATGAGATAATTTATTTGAATGCACCTTATCAATGCAAACTTCTACAAGATGTTAGATGTTTTGGGTGAGTGGGACTTGCCTTGAACTGGGATTGGTAGAATAAAAAGGGAAAGGGAGAGCCGTGTGCTGCAACTGTAGTTTTGCGTTTCCATGGTCTCACAGAGGAGAGATGCTTCTTTTAAGTTTTCTGCCCTGAAGACTTCTAGGGGCCAGAGCAGATTATAAACTAAGCATGAGAAATCCATAAAAAGAAAGCTATGCAGTGAGTCACAGAAGTGGAAGGCCAGTTTGTCACATGTTATCTTGTTACTCTGAGGGTAGTCAGACTTAGACTTTTATGCTAGAACCAGTTTTATGTTCCGCAACACATGGGCCTCAAAGACAGTTGGGAAATTGGGACTTCAGATGTCACAGTGTGGAATAGAAATGGGTTCCATAAAGATCTTGTGTGCTCGGTGACATTTTGTTAAATGAAATATAGAAGCCTTCCAGACTAGAAGGATGAGAGAAGTAAGTCAGCATCCCATTATTGAGAACTGGTCAGTGATGGGGCTGTGGAATCTCATTTCTTTTCATCTTCAAGAACAAAATAGCATGATTGGTGTAGGTGGGCTGCATTTCCAGCTTCCCAGAAAGGAGAGAGGGGCTCCTACATTGAGCAACTTCCCCATCTTGTTGTTCACTGACTCTCTATTCGATTGCTCTGAGTGGAGGCCATTGCTGTCTAAAGGCCTCCTCACTCTTTCTTTGCCCCTGGGTCATTTGATTCCGGTATTTCTTTGTCCTGCGCAAAGAGATGATATGTGGAAGGAGGGAAGACATATTCTCCTTCAAACAGAGTTGTATAACATCTCTTTGTCTCTTCCCACAGCCCCTGCTTAAGTGACTCTTTAGGGTAGCTTCTGTTCCTACTAGTATCCCAGGCAGAAAGACATGGAGATGCCCTCTCAGCCTTGCTGAAGCCTTTTGCTTTTCTTGCTTGTCCATCCTTAACTCATCGTCCCAGACACGCTGCTGAACGTGTTCTTGGCCATTGCTGTTGACAATCTGGCCAATGCCCAGGAGCTGACCAAGGTAAGCATTGTTCTCTGAGGATCTAATGGTTCTTTAATGCCATTGGGTGCCCTCTGGCCTTTGGAGCTGTCTCAAAAATCTGTGATGTCTGGCTTCAGCCTGCCAGGAAGGCCCATTCTGGGAGCTTCTGGACAGTTGGAGAGCCACACATCCGCGGAGGAAGCCTGGTTCACTTTCATTGAGTTTGGTCAGCCTCGGACCAGCTGGGGTCTCTCATGGGATACAGAAAATAACAGTTTAATCACTGTGAACTCTCAAAGGTGCCCTTTTCAGGATTATGACATGAAGAATAAAAAAGACACTAAAGCCCTGGATTTAAGTTCCACCTCTGCTCCTGTGACCTATCACTGCGTGACCTCAATTGTGTGACTTCATCCTTCTGGGTTTGGGTGTCAGAGGGACCAGGGGCATCACAGTTCCTGGACTATGCCAGTGGCCATGGTCATTTTGGGGAAGTTTCAGTGAAGCCAGACACTACATTTCTCAAATAACTGTTCCTTTCTTTTTCTCAGAGTCATTTCTCCAGGGGCAGAGACAATGCTAATTGAAGTGGGATGATTTAGGGAGATGAATGAAAACTTCTTCTCACCCAGTGCTACTTTGGTTTGCGGCAGAAGCATCCTAGTGATGTTTCTCAGCTTTTTCCATGTGCCCTGTGGACACATGTCCTGCTCTTCCCTACATCCCTGAGGGTTATCTTATATCGTGGTGTGGTAGGGCAAATACAAGCTTTATTATCTGAAAAGCTGAGTTTGAATCCCACATCTGTCACTTACTGGCTCTTGTAGCTTGGGCCAGATCCATGATCTCCATTAGCATTGGTTTCTTCCTTTGTAAAATGGAGATGATATATCTGTTTTGCATACCTCATAGGATTACTATGAGGATCAAGTAAAATAATGTATGTGAAACCAGAACATGCTGTGAAGATGTCTGTATTCTTAGTAGCTCCAGTCATTTTGCCTGAACTGGCTTTCCTTGACGTCATCACATAGAGGGGGCACTTACAAGTAAGAATGCAGGTGAGGAGATGAGGCTCCTCCCTGAGCATGTGAGGTGGGGCCACTTAGCTATGCAAGGAATGGGGCATGATGGGAGGCAAGTCTCAGTGCTTTACTTCAGGGGGCTCTGCCTGGAAGGGCCCTGCTCTATCACTTCCAGACACTGCAGAACATCTGAGAAGTGTTGGCTCCTGCCTCTGGCCTCCACAGCTATGGCCAGCTCCACTGAGGGCTAGGGGTTGCAGTAGACTTCCACAGCCTATGGGGCAAGGCCCAGACCAGAGCTGCTGGCCATGACAGGGCTGTGGAGGCCTGGCCCCTGACCACCTGAGCTATCGGAGCCAATCTAACCTCATACTGCCTTGTTTTAACCTCTTCCATTGCTTTCCTTACTCACACCTGGTCTCCAGAACTCCTTCCGGGGCAAGGCAAAGGAGCTACTCTCCTTCACAGGGATCCCAGGCAAAGCCATCTCTGCTTTGTGTCTAGGATGAGCAGGAAGAAGAGGAGGCCTTCAACCAGAAACATGCACTGCAGAAGGCCAAGGAGGTCAGCCCGATGTCCGCACCCAACATGCCGTCTATCGAGTGAGTCAGCTGTCCCCACTTCGCTGACCCTTGGGCTCTGGTGCTAACAGCCAATTCATCAACTCAAAAATGGTTTATTATCTGAGGGCGCCTACTCCATGCCAGGAAATGTCCTGCAAATACAGCAGTGAGCAAGACCAAGTCTCTGTCCTCACGGAGCTTTTATTTCAGTGAGCAAGATAGATAATAAACACACCTAAATAATTTCAGATTGTGATAATTGCTGTAAAATAAGTAAAACAGGGTAATAAGGCAGAGGGACAAGAGTTGGGTGGAGTACCTTTGGGCAATCTGAGAGGGAGTCTCTGAAGAGGTGATGTTTAAGCAGAGACCTAAATGTGTAAAAGGTGGTCACGTGACGTTATGAAGGAAGAGCATTCCCCAGCAAGGTCCAGTGTGGCTGGTGTGTAGGGAGCAAGGGGGAATAGAAGGAGACAAGGCCAGGGAGGTAGGCAGTTGCCAGCTTGGGGAGATCCTGAAGGCCCAGGTGAAGGATTTCAGCTTTTATTCTAATTGCAACCATGGGAGGGACTAAAGTGAAAGGAGGGATATGATATGATTTACACTCCACTCTGTGGAGAAGGGATTGTAGGAGCCAAGAGTGGAGGCAGGGAGACAGAGAGTTGGCTCTTAGTGTAAAGTAGGCAAGAGATGGTGGTTTGGAGCATGGTAGCAATGGAGGAGATGAGAACTAATCCCATTCAGTCTGTATTTGTAGGGAGAACCCACTGGATGAGCTAATGGATGAAATGTGATGGGGGTGGGGATGAAAAAAAAAGAGAAGAAACAAATATCTCTCCCAGGTTTTAAGGTTTGAGGCCTGAGAAACTGAGTAGATCACAGTGGTGTTTACTGATAGCCTGGAGAATGTTGGAAATCCAAGGTTTATTTTGGCCAAATTAAATTCGAGATACTTATGAGACATCCAAGCAAAGATGTTGAATAGGCTGTTGGTTACTTGAGTCTGAAGCTTAGAAGAGAAGTCAGGGTTAGAGATAAAGGTTTGTGAGGAGCCATTTGCAATTGGATGATGGTTAAACTATCAGCATGGACGAGCTGACCCAGGGAGAGTTGGGTGGAGAAGAGAGGAGCTAAGGACAGAGGCCTAGAGCACTCCTGTGCCTCGAGGGCTGGCAGAGGAGACACCCACAAAGGAGACTGATGGGGAGCAGCCAGGAGGTGAGAGGAAGAACTAGGAAGCGTGGTATCCTGGAGACTTAGAGAAGAAGACTTCCAGGAGGCAGGAGTGATGATGGAGCTAAATACTGTTGAAAGATCATGTAAGATGAAGACAAAAGAAGGACCAGTGGGAAAGCTGTTGGTGACCTTTACGAGAGCAGTTTTGGTGGCCCAGTGGGTACCGAATCCAGTGGTAATGAATCAGGGAGACAACGGGAGGTGATAAAGTAAAGCAGCGAGTATAGACTCTTTTTAAGGAACCAGCCTGGACCTGTAGCTGCTGGTAGAACTAACAGAGCTTGGGCCCTGCTTGGGGCTGACCTCTGTGTGGTCCTAGAGGAAGGTGTGGGAGGAGAGGCTGAGAAGTGACTACAGAACCATGGAATTCCTGTTGTTGCTTCTGAGCCTGTGTGAGGACTGTGTGAGTGGTCCTGGGATATTGATGGGGAGGGTCTGAGACCCTCAGGAGGTAGAACTCTATCCTGGCACCAGACCCTGTCATCTGTTACTTGAAGCTGTTAAGGGAGGACCCCCTGTTTTCCCAGAGCTTGCGTGAAGGGTTCCTGAACATCCTCTGCCTACCTTGTGGAGGCATTCCAGAGTTATATGTGGGGGCCTCCCTCCCCTGCATGGCCATCATCTTGCTGTCACCTTTCAAAATTCTGAAGGCCTGGCCTCTGGGCCCCTCCTTTATGAGTAAGAAAAAAAACTCCCCCAAAATTTGTTTAAAATTGTTGGAGAAGGCAAAATAACTCCTTCCTCTCTAGAATATTCTCTGGACCTTGAGTAGTTACTATCCCACTTTCTCTGCACTCATGAATTTGGGTTAAAAATACACACACACAGGTACCCAAACATGCTGATGAGTAGAGCTGGCTGTCACTTAGGAGTGGGTGATTCTATTTACTGGGACAAGGAAGCCTGGGGGAGGAGTGGGTTTGGAGAAAGGCGAGTTGGAAAGGTGCTTGGCCCAGAGTAGAAACTCGCTATTTATGGAATGAAAGAATGAATGAAATGCTGGTAGGCATAGAGCTGTAGGAACTGAGCTGTGTGTATCCGGGTGCAGGAGGTGGGAGAACTTACTGTAACCATCCAAGATGAGCAGAGATCCAGGCTTTGGTTGCGGTGTATGTGCTGTGAGGTGGGCGCTGCTGGCGGGAACTGTGTTGGGGTGTGTATGCACTGCTTGGGAGTGCAGGCAAGACGGCGGGTTTCTGGACTACAGTCTAACTAAGTGAGAATGTAGCTGTCCTTGGAGGAACATGGGAAGAGCTTTGTTACAAACCCAAAGGCCTGAGCACTAGTCATAGTTCTGTCACTCGTATGCTCTGTGACCTGGGAGAGAGAACTGCTTAGGACCTCAGAATCTCTGTTTCCCCATCTTTGAAATGGGAAGAATACCAGCTGCCCTTCCTGGTCCACAGGCTTATTGTGGGGTGTGTATGAGGACACGGGTGCATGGATTGGAGATATGTGTGATTTTAGGTATGAACGTATGTTAATGATTCTGATGGGATGTGAATCTGGATCTCTGTATGTATGAGTGGAAAAGCGAAGAGGAAATTGAAGTGTGTATCTGATTTGTGTGGGAATTAGAGGTTGGGTCTGTCTTTTGCCTGGCCTCTGTGTGAGAGTGTGTGTGTGTGTGTGTGTGTGTGTGTGTGTGTGTGTGTATGTGTGCATGCACACACATGTGCATACAAAAAAGAGAGAGAGTTCTTCCATATACTTACATTCTTACACAGGTGCTTCTGGAGGGCTGATGTTGAATATTTGAGAATTTGCAAACAGATGGTAGAATGTGCTTTTCCTAGCGTGTGTGCATGCTGCCTGACTAGAGTGTGTGCTTCTATTTCTACATGCAGGCACATGCTTCTTGGCACCACCGCCCCACGTGTGCCTCGTGGCATTGCAGCTGCTGAGGGGTGCATGCAGTTGGGGAGCTCACAGACATCTCCACAGTGATGTCTGCGTCTTTTCTGTGGGTGCTCATGTGCATTGTGCCTCTTCCAGACACCGAGTAAGACTCAGACCAGCTGCCTGTGCTCCCTCAGCCCACCGTGTATCAGGCTCCTCTCCTCTCCTGTCTTTACCGAGGAAGGAGCAGCATTTGCCGACCTCCCAGGTCCAGGTTGGGCCCATTGGGCCAGACTGGATCTGTCAGTCCAGGAAGTGGGGCAGGCTCACTCTGCACGTATCCCAGGAGTGTTGTCCTCCACCTGATTACTGACCCTGTGCTGACAGCTTTATTGTTCCATGAGTCCTATTTGCCTTTGCAAATGATGCCCACACCTCTCCCATTGACCTTGTGTTTGAAAGGACACAGCATGTGTGTGTCTGTAGAAGAGATTTTTCCCTGTGCAAGGCTGGGAAGGTGAATACTGTGCTTTACCCAGCTGGACAAACCGAACCTTCAGGGCTCTGGCCAGGGGCTACTGTTTTGCACAGATACGGGGGGTAACACTCACATACTGAAGTGTGTGGATGGCAGCCCTGCCTTTGGCCATGGACTACATTGTGACCTCTGTGGTGTGCATGGCAGAGCATTTGTTCCCTGCATGTTTTGTGAGATTGGAGTGATGAGTTGGGGAGTCACACCCATGTGAATATCCTAGAAATGAATGAGGGAAATACAGTTCTTCATCAGGATTTCCAAAATAGGCCTCTGGAGGATAGTTAGGTGAAATTGTGTGTGCCAGTGGGGCATGGCGATGGAGCATCTGAAGCTGTTGACTCTGTGAAATGGTATGTCCTCTGTGTCTCTGCATGCCTGCTTCAAAAACTGGATCGGTGTGTTTGCACAGAGCAAGGAATCCAAAGCCACTCCCTTGGAGAGTTGAAGGTTGGGAGTCTGCAGAGGGCAGCAGGCACGTGGAGAATGTACGGGCATGTGGGGGACTCTGTGCCTCTCCTTGGAAATCGGCTGGTGGCTGTGGGGCTTGCGGTTCCGAGAGGCTGGGGTGGACTGAACCTGTTCGTTTTTCTTTCCCAGAAGAGACAGAAGGAGAAGACACCACATGTCGATGTGGGAGCCACGCAGCAGCCACCTGTATGTGTGTACCAGTTTGCGTGTTTGTGAGTGGTTATGTGTGGGTGCGGGGACACTGTGTCTCTGTCCTTGCCATGGACAAAGTGGCACTGGGTGTGCATGTCAGTGTGTGCCGTGGTGTGTGCGTGTGTGCTCCATGCACATGGTCTGTGGATATGCCCTCTGCACCTTTCAACGTGTGCTTATATCAGTGTGTGTCTCAGGTATGTAACTCTGTGTGTTGTTCGCTCTTCTGTGTGGCCTGTGAGTGGGCATGTGTTGGTGTGGGTAATTAGTGTTGGTGGGTGTGCCTTTCACGTAGGCGGTTGTATACAGCTACATGTGGGCCTCAGTGATGGTGCGTGTGGGCACATGTGAGCATCCCCTTAGCAGTTTGTAGGCGTGTGCCCACGGGTACACGTGAGTGAAGGAGCAGGTAACTACCCTTCTGCCTGTGGGAGCCCGCTGCTGTGTGCTCCTGTGTGTGTCACGTTTGTGTGTTCCTGCTGCCACGGGAAAGCTCCTCTAGGCCCTTGGGCTGAAATGTTCAGCAGTGGTTTTGAGTACGAGCTGCTGGTGGTTTCTGCCCGTACAGCCCCCAGTGGTTTTATTGGCTGTTGTGGAAGAGACCCACAGCACTCTTTTTGAGGGCTATGCCGGGACTTTTTGTTGCGTGGTCTGCTGGTCACTGTCCTCACCCTTTGTGGTATCTGACCCTTGTACTTCTTGCAGTCCCAGGCTAGAATCTGAAAGGGAAAGGAGAAGGGGGAGCAAGAGGAAGAAAGGTCTCTGACCTTGAATTAAGGGCCAGTGGTGGGCACGGAGTGGGTACAGTTTGATGCCCTGAAAGCAAAGGAGGGAAGGGGAGGGAAGACCTGGTAAGCCTGTGCACCACTGCACTACTGGCCTTGGGGACTGGGAACTCCACCCTGGGTGATCCCACCCCTCACCCCAAGCCCTCAGCTACTGCAGAGCAGGGCTTACAGAGGGAAGCCCCACAGACTGGGAGGCACTGGTCCAACCACCTACCATGCGTGGCCCACTCTGCTCCTTGCATCTTTCTGTGCTTCCTGTCTGCAGGTCCTGGGCTCTCCCATTTGCTCCCCCGACCATGTGTCCCACCCTTTTCCCACGGCCGCTGAGGGCTGGCCCACACCCCTGTGGCTGCCCTCCCTGGCCTCCAGTGCTTGGCTCCTGATCATGGCCCTCGCCCTTTCTCCTTTGCCAGGAGGGAGCGGAGGCGCCGACACCACATGTCGGTGTGGGAGCAGCGCACCAGCCAGCTGAGAAGGCACATGCAGATGTCCAGCCAGGAGGCTCTCAATAAAGAGGAGGCCCCGCCAATGAACCCCCTCAACCCTCTCAACCCACTGAGCCCCCTCAACCCACTCAACGCCCACCCCAGCCTCTACCGGAGATCAAGGCCCATTGAGGGCCTGGCCCTGGGCCTGGGCCTGGAGAAGTGCGAGGAGGAACGCATCAGCCGTGGCGGATCCCTCAAGGGGGACGGAGGGGATCTCTCAAGTGCCCTGGACAATCAGAGGAGCCCCTTGTCTCTGGGCAAACGGGAACCGCCGTGGCTGTCCAGGCCCTGTCATGGGAACTGTGACCCGACCCAGCAGGAGGCTGGGGGAGGGGAGACCGTGGTGACCTTCGAGGACCGGGCCAGGCACCGGCAGAGCCAGCGGCGCAGCCGGCACCGCCGCGTGCGGACAGAAGGCAAGGAGCCCACCTCAACCTCCCGGAGCAGGTCTGCCAGCCAGGAGCGGAGTCTGGATGAAGGGGTGTCTACCGAGGGGGAGAAGGACTGTGAGCCCAGGGGCAGCCATGGGGTCAAGGAACCCACAATCCAGGAAGAAGAGCGAGCCCGGGATTTAAGGAGGTAAATTAGTTACAGGAGTGCCCTGGAGACACATAGCACGACTGGTGGTAGGGATTCTTCAAAATAAGCTTTTCTGAGCTTCAGTTTCCCCTTTTGTGAAATAGGGATGATGCTAATGCAGCCTTTATAAGGTATGTGTAAATATGACAAGTGCTGGGGTCTGTCCCCCGGAAAACCAGGGCCTTTTCTTCCAGGGGTGCTCCTCTTGGGAATGGGTCATGGAGGGATGGATGGGAGTAAGCCAGGGGACCCTGCCCTCGGGTCTTAGCTCCTCTCTGCCTGGCTGGGAGGCGGTGGAAGCCATGCGATCTCCAGCAGGGCTCCTCGGCTCCCCTCACCTTTCCCACTTGCCTGGTGCATCAGAACAGCTTCTTAAGATCTGAGCACCAGCTGTCTCCTCTCTTTTCACAGGACTAACAGTCTGATGGTGTCCAGAGGCTCTGGGCTGGCAGGAGCCCTCGATGAGGCCAACACACCCCTAGTCCTGCCCCAACCCGAGCTGGAAGTGGGGAAGGATGCAGCGCTGACAGAGCAGGAGCCGGAGGGCAGCAGTGAGCAAGCCCTGCTGGGGGACGTGCATCTGGACATGGGCCGGGCCATCAGCCAGAGTGAGCCTGACCTCTCCTGCTCCACAGCCAACACAGATAAGGCCGCCACTGAGAGCACCAGCGTCACTGTTGCCATCCCTGACGTGGGCCCCTTGGTGGACTCTACAGTGGTGCACAGTGAGAACACAGTCCCTGTTCCCCTGTCTGCCTCTCCCGCTTTGCCCACATTGCCCATCCCACCCAGAGCTGGGGAGCGAGATGGCTCGGGAGTCATCCCAGTAAAGCTGTGTGGAAAACCCCACCAGCAGGATGAAATCTTTCTTCAACAAGAGGAAGATAGTGGCAGTTTTATCCTGGTTTTCAGGAAAAATAAGTTAGCATTTTCTCAGTGTTAAGTTTTGCCCATAAAATTTCCTTAGGCCTTTGGGCCCTGTGAGTACCCTAGAGTCTTCAGAGAGATCACAGGTGGTTTTGTACCCAGTTATGTATTCGGCTCTTTGATTGATCATGTGACTGTCTGGTGGCATTCTCAGGACATCCAAGCTGCTGCCTGGCCAAGTTAGGGAGACTCTGATGAAGCCAAAGATGTCAGCGGGGCTGGGCTGGCCCTGGCTCTGCTCAGGGCCGGCCTCCAAAAAACCTCTGCATCTCTCGAGGCCTCAGTTTGCCCTCTACAAAGTGAAAGCACAGAACCAGATGATGTCAGAGGTCTTTCCGTGCTAATGTTTTATGACTCTATTACTCTTATCTACTCTTTTCCTCCTAGGAGCTTTTAGTCACACTTTCTCTCACAGTTCCCTCAGGCAATGGATGTTCATCTACAGACCTTAAAGGGAAACACAGCAAAAAAGCACTTAACCTACACCGTATTCCTGCCTAACCCTGAATCCCTGCCTGATGCCACACCCCATCCCTGCCTTAACCCTATGTCCTGTCCCTGCCCTAACCCCACCCCTCACCCCCACCCCATCCCTACCCTAACCTTACCCCATCTATGCATTAATCCCGCCTCTTGCCCCATGGTCACCGAATTGTGACCACAAGATTCCACCCCTGCTTTTATTTCCTCCCTGACTTTTTCCATATTTTTCTCTTTTGACAGGACAGCCTCCTCTCCCTGCTCTTCTTTCTTCAACTGCCCCATCTCTGTTCCTTCACCTTCTCTACACTCACAATGCCAATACTACTTAAGAAGTGAAATCTCCCGTGTCTGCTGCCCCTGGGGTTGGCTGGGGAGTGTCTCAGGATCTCAGACCCACAGCCTTTTGGTGTCTGTTGAATTTTATACTCTAATAAATAAGTGTTTGAATCCTCTTTTATGAGAAACAACCTTAGGAAGGTTTGACCCTCCCTCTGTTGCCCTTCTCGGGCTGGTTCTTCTCGAGCATGGCCTTGGTTGTGGGTAAGAGCATGTTATCAGAGGTCTTTGGATATTTTGTATGGCTTACCTTTTGGAAGGACTCTGAAGGGGCCAGAACCTCAGAGGTTTGCTGCTTACACAAGGTTCCAGGGTGGAGTCACTCACTGAATGGGAACGGTGGGAGAGGTTGACTGGTCCCTTGCCCCACTCTGACAGACGCACCCTCTCTGCTGCTTACCCCACACTGTAACTTGAGTGCAGAAACAGCAGCTGCCCAAGAGCCCCCTTCAGTCTCTGGCTCTTCATCCTCTCAATCCTGGAAGCCGGTCATGGGCCCATATTCACATGAATATTGCATCCTCATTTCTGCATAATCATGGCTGGAAAAAGCACAGCCAGAAAGGCAGCCTCCAACAGAGTAATGATTTCTTCAAATCTTCCATTGCAGTGGGGTTTTGTTGAAAGGATACAGAATTTTGAATTGTGAGCCCATACTAGCTGAATAACCTCAGGATAGGTCTTTGAGTTCCCTGAACTTTGCTTTTCCCATCTATATATTGGGAATAATAATACATGTCACTCAGGGTGTTTTGATATGAAAATTCAGTAAGCAAATATATACAAAGAATTAAGATTTTAGATATAAATAAATTTCATAAACTTTACAACAGAAACAGCCATTCTGTTTACTCTCCTGTTACCTGGGGAAACATGACTATTATTATTTGTATGGCAAAAAAGGCTATAGCACGTAAAATGAGGGCAAGGATAAGGCTAGGAGGAGAGCAGGGCTTAAGTCAGTGTAATCTAACAAACACCCTGAGGTTTGCAGGACACCTTGCTGGGGACGATCCTGTAGCCATTTCCCGTCCTCTCCATCCCCTCCCCAGTGGAAAATGAAGGGCTCCATTCCCGCATGTAGCAAAGTTTCTGAAGATTTCGACGTGTTCCTCTTGCAGTTAGCAACAAGACGGATGGAGAAGCCAGTCCCCTGAAGGAGGCGGAGATCAAAGAGGAGGAGGAGGAGGAGGTGGAGAAGAAGCAGCAGAAGAAGGAGAAGCGTGAGACGGGCAAAGCCATGGTGCCCCACAGCTCTATGTTCATCTTCAGCACCACCAACCCGTAAGACCCACCCCCATGGCCCCCCTTCGGTGCCAGGGTACACAACCTGGGTTTGAGCCGGGGCAGGGTGATGAGGAGGACGAGAGAGGAGCACCCAGTCATCTTCCTGATCCTTCCCATTGGGATGTGGCCAGACATCTGAAGCATCCAGTGCTCACTGGCTGACGTGGGTCATGGGATTGAACAGCCTCTGAACTGTGTGCCCATAGTCTAAAGACTATTTTAAGACAAGAAAGCATGAGAATGTCATCAGGAAAGGACCCTTCTCCTATTCTTTGGTTAGTAGGTGGCGTGAGGGGGATGGGGAGGAAGGAAGTCTCCTTGGGATGTGTCACTAAATATATCCAGAGGTGGACAGAGCTGACAACGTGGAGCCTGGAATGATTAGATCATCCACTGGAGTTTAGGTGTACTGGTCCCATTGCCCTACATATGGATTTTGAAATGGGCGTGTTCCTCAGAGCAGAGGTAGGGGCATGAGATGGGGATGGCAGAGAAGAGTCTGGAAGGTTTGATTCAGGTAAGATGGAATTTTGAAAGAGAAACTGCCTTCTGCCCTGGAAGTGAGCAAGATGTACACATAGACCAGCTTCTGAGGCTAGGAAGGCAAGAAGGCTTTCAGAGGCCACATGGGCCTTGTTCAGGCAGGGCTCTGGGAAAGATGGAATCTGGCCTAAGGTATGTCAAGGGCACGCGAGGCCAGAATGCTATCTGTAGAATATAGTCGCTTTAATTGCAATGCCTGGAGCTAATGAAAACCTGTTGCTGCTTTCATCAGGAATCTTAGAATCAAGGTGTATTTTTATGTTTCTTGGTTCTTCTGATTTCCTTGCTATGCCCCCATTTCTGTACAGTAGGGGAGCAGACATTGAGATCCAGTGGAGGGCACCATGTAGCCACCCTGAGCGTGTGTAGTCTGGTGCTGGCTGCTCCCCGTGGCTCAGACATGCTTGCAGATAATGTATCTTGGCTTGCGTACTGCAGCCTCTAACCAATCTGATTACCTTCCCCCACTGGGGCTTTAAATCAAAGGTGGTGCCTAAGAAATTAAATTGCTCTCCCTATGGCTTCCTCTGGCCAGGGCCTGGCTGTCTAGAAGAGGTTGATGTACGTGGGGGTGGGGAGTACGGGATGGGGATGGGGATGGGAGGGAAGCGGGGCCAGCTCAGCGGGCTCATCCACCCTTCAGGATTCGCAGGGCCTGCCACTACATCGTGAACCTGCGCTACTTTGAGATGTGCATTCTCCTGGTCATCGCAGCCAGCAGCATTGCCCTGGCGGCCGAGGACCCTGTCCTGACCAACTCGGAGCGCAACAAAGTGGGTGCACAGGGGCCATTTTCCAGCCTCGATAGAGCCCTGGTACCCACCCCACCCCATGCCCTCCTCATCCCTCTCCCTGTCCCACCCCTACTTCCCAACCATGCTGTGTGCCTTTATGCTTCATGGTGGACCTTACACCCAGAGCCACCCAGGGCTTTGAAGTGGGTCTGCAGTCACCCATGGGCTTGGATGTGGGATCTGACCTAAGGTCATGGGTGATGTGTTTGAAGTTGGGCAGCTCTACCACAGGAAGTTGAGACATCTCCTGGAGGTCCCAAGGGTGTATATCAGGAGGTATGAGGGAGGTGAGGAAGATTGCAACTGACAAGGATTCAGGTCCTGAGAGAGAGATTTGTGGGACAATTCAGACCCAAGAAGTTAAGTTCTGGCCAAGGGGAGGGAAGGGCCAAGGACTGGCCAGCGGGTCATGCAGTTCCAGCAGTATCCATGGCTCCTCTCCTCCCTGCATCCAACGAGCAGTTACGATGAGTGGGGTTGGGGGGCTGCGTGTGTCCATGGGCAGACGGGCATGTGTATAGCCTGGTGGCCTCACACGATCCCCCTCCCTCCGCCATGCGTGTCTTACAGGTCCTGAGGTATTTTGACTATGTTTTCACTGGCGTGTTCACCTTCGAGATGGTTATAAAGGTAAAAGCCTCCAGAGAACACCTGGGCTCCGGGGTTTGGATGGGTCACCTGTCTGCTCCTCTAGTGTAGTGCCCTTCCCCAATGCTGTCATCTACCGGCCAATGACAGAACCTCAGAGGGCCTCTGCCGACCCCTCCTCTGGCCTCAGAATCCTGATACAGTCTGTCTTGGCACAACATGACTGCATGGACCTGTTTGGACTGGTGCAGACCTGTGGATGTGGCCCAGGGAGGGGCCTGGCCCATTCTCAGGCAGGCAGTGGGAGTGTAGACAGACTCGGGGACCACAGTCACCTCCCCAACTGCTTCCTGATTTAAACTTGGGTGTGTGTCAAGGAGGCAAAGGGTTAGGGAGAGATGAATCTTCCCAGACTCCATCTAGTCCTAACCACACTCACTGCCCTCTAGTCTGTTCCCCACCACCCTAACTTCCCACATTTCTATCTTGTTCCCAGTCTCACCCATCTGGGATTTTTCCCATCTGTGTGTGTGTGGCGACGCCCGGTGCTCTGAACCACTAATGAGAGGAGAAATGTGGCAGGGTTCTTTCAGAACCAAGGAGTCTAATTGAACCCTGGTGGCTATGAGAAGGGACCTCAGGCCTCATAGTTAGGCAGAGAGAGCCTGTGAAACCTGCCCTCCTGCTCTTCAGGTCCCCAGGGAGGTTTGGTTGTGGAGATGATGGCAGTGGAGACATTGTCATGGGGAGCCCAGAGCTCAGGGTGCACGTTGCTGGCACCTCCTGGTTCATCTGTGGCTGTTCACATCCTTCTCCTGCAGATGATAGACCAGGGCTTGATCCTGCAGGATGGGTCCTACTTCCGAGACCTGTGGAACATCCTAGACTTTGTGGTGGTGGTTGGCGCATTGGTGGCCTTTGCTTTGGCGTAAGTAACTTTTTTCTTGTTCGGTTCCCTTCCCTTCCTTGTTCCTGAGACTCTGGCTGATTTGAGGCCTACTCCAGGACCAACCTGAGAAACAGTTCACTCAGAGTGGTGCCACAGAATGCTGCCCTGGAAATCTGCTTCCCAGTTGCCGTCAGCAGAGCTCCTAAAAGCCTTACAGCTTCAGCTCACATGCCCTCAAGGGTACGACTGGTGAAGGAGCAGGAGAGAGAGTCACTAGGGAGAAGTCAGAGGCCCTGGAGTTCCTTTCTTGGAGATGAGTAAGCATGGGCAGGTGCTCACCTGCGTGGGGCAGTGCCTTCATGAGCTCAGGGCAGGACCCAGGGATGGACAGCTGATGTCCCCTTTCATTTCTTGATTCTGTCAAACAAAGGATTAGCTTGAAAGAAAAATGCAGAGGGTAGAGCAAAGTTGGAGGTCACAGAATCCTGGGCATGGGGAGATTCTCTGCGCATGAGCAGGGGTACCCCAGAGCTATTCCTGGGCTGTAAGAACCATGTTAATATGTTTAACTCCAGAAGGAAAGACTTTCCCAACCTTCCTTGATAACACTTAGAAAAACAGTCTTAAACCATTCAGGTGACTAAACCCTGTTCCTTACATTTGAGGAATTTTTTTTCAATCATTGATCCAGGTGTAGCGGGTCAAAACCACATTTTGACATTTCCTGTGGAATTTAGCCAAGGAAAGGGCTCTCCCAGGCCCCCAGGGTGTAGATGGGAAATAGGCATGTTGTCAGGGCCGTTTGCCTAAGCTGATGTGTTGAGTGCCCCAGAAGATGAATGGCAGCCTTTTGGACTCTGTCTGTCCCTTGCTTCACTGCCAGAGTAGCTTCACCCTCTTCTGGGTGGCATAGAATTCCTTCCAGCCTCTCTGAGGACAAGAGGAAGCTAAGTCTTCTAAGCATGGCTGCCTGCACTATGTGATGGGGCAGAAGGAGAGCTTTTGGGAACTGCCCTCATTGATGGCAGCTACAAAATGGAAGGAACAAAATCCTTCCATAGATTTGACCTTCCCCAGGCCAAGTAGTGGTCAGAAAGGAACCATCCATCCTGCCTTCTCCCCAAGCACTGTCAGCTTCTATCCCTGTCCATTCTAGCAGAGAAAAAGGTAGGGTGAGAGTTAAGAAGGAATGTTCCTCAAGTGGCCAACGGTAGGGAGCTCCATGCGTATAGGAGGGTTGACAGGTCTCCAGCTGTGGTAAGAATTTAAGATCTCCCAGAACCTGGAAGTGGACTGTGTCCATTGCTGCCCAGTCGTGGGGAATCCTCCAAAGGAGAGCCGGATAGAGTGTGGCTTGTGACCCTGATCTGGGCTGGCAGTCAGGGCAACTCCAGTGTCCCTTGGCCCCATGTGCACCAGTGTATTAACCCCATTAGAGTCACATGGAATCATCTGTGCTCCTCACAAAGAAAGCCTCCTATTAGATGAGGTTGAGCTGTTCCCAAGGAAATTTCACAAAAGCATTGTATTTTCCCAAGCATCCAGATGCTGTACGGATTCTCACAGCGAGCTAAATATCAAGGCACCTCTGGCTCTACCGAGAGGACTCCCAGCTCCTCTTCCTCCTCTTCTTTGAAAGAAGCGTTAAAGTCGCCTCTGTCCTAAGGAGGCCCACCTTTTCTGTTAGAGATGAATATTACCCTTGGGTTTTTAAAAGGTCAGGTTCCCTTCTCATTTTATCAGTTCATTTCCACGCATTGTTGGCCATAATGTTCTTTCTTATTTTGATCTCAGTAAAATAATTTGTCTCTCTTTGAAGAAATAAAGAACAAGGAGAGAGAAGCACAGAAGAACTGCCCCCTCCCACCCATCTTTAGGAAGAACAGAGGGCCTTGGGGGTGACAGGGCAGAGTGGGAGGGGGGATGTGGCCTGTGGAGCCAGGCAGACCCTGGTTCGAATCCTAGCCCCTCTACTTACCACTTTCATGTCCTGGAGCAACATAGCAAGACATTAACCCTCTTAACCTCAGTTTCTCATCTCTGAAACAGAGGCAAAATCATGTGTGTAAAGTGCTTAGCACAGGGCCTGACCAGTGTGAGTGAGCAATAAATGTTAATTCCCTTCCTTTTCCTTCCGTTCTCCCATGACATCATGAAGTCCAAATCTCATACCAAAGTGTATGTTGATGCACACATGCAAATAAATGAGATGAACACAGGCTGGTTTCCAAGACTTGGTTGTTTTACACACACACACGCAAGCACGCACACACGCGCGCGCGCGCACACACACACACACACCCACACCCACCCCACCCCCCCCCCCAGGCCTGTGCCTGTGTACCTGGAAACCAGGCAGGTGTGTTGGTGACCGTGGGAAGGAGGTATACTTTAGAGAACTCTGCATGCCTGCCCCGTGTCCACAGTCCAGCTGTCTCTCCTCAGATCCAGAGCAATGACAACGGGCTGGAGGGTTGTCACCTGTCTTGTTCTTTTTTTGTGTCCTCTGAAACATGGTGGTGGTGGCTTTGGTGCTGGTGGCAGGGGAAGCCTTAACAGCCCCGGAGCCGAAGCCTCTCTGTTGGTCCTCAGATCAGGTACAGTTCAGGGAATCCAGGAGTCCCCTGGTTCTGGGATCCACGCTTATGTGATGGATTGAGTGTCATAATCTATCACTTGCTTTTAGTGAAGTCACTTCTTGAACTTGTTCATTTTTCTCTGAAATGTAAATGGTACTTGCTCATCCTTCTCCATCCACCAGCTCTTTTGTTATCATCCTTCTAAGCTTGCCATGCACATTTCCTCTCCCCTTTCTCCTGCTTGTGGAACAGACTCACACTTCCCCTTCTGTGGCCTTCGTCATGTTTGCTGAGGTTCAGGTAATGCTTTCTCTCGCTCGTGTGCCCACACTTCCTAACTCTATTCTCTACTTTTCCTCATTAAGGGCACCAGAGAATTCAGCTCTCCCATCACTTTGGTGGGGTTAGCCAGAGTCCTGCCTGCCAGCAGAGGGAGGGCCTGGCCTGGGGCAGACAGCAGAATAAAGCCTATGTCCCAGTGGGGGGCTATGACCAGGGGCTCAGGCCGACAGGAAACCAAATGTGGGTTTTTCTACAGGCTTTTCAAGGATCTCCCTCCTTGTAGTTACGACTCTCGTTATTGTATGCCATATATTTGCCCCCGGGACTGTCCACCATTCAGAGAACCTTACTCCTGCCTTCTCCTAAAGGAGAGTCCCCCCTCCTTGAAACTGAACCTTAGCCTACTGAGGCTTCTGCAAAGGCCGTTGCTCATTTTAAGCAGAATTGATGGTGATTGCCATGGTAACACCTTTATGTGGCTCCTCAGAAATCAGAGGTCACTTGGCATCCCTTCTACCACAGCCAGCCAGAGCCTTCTCAGAACCCAGCCCAAATCCCAAGAGCAAGGCCCCTAACCAACGGGAGGGAGGGGCCTCTAGCTGAATTCTCAAAGAAAGCCGCGTGGCCCCCTGAGCCCTCCTGCGGAGGTCTGCACTGGCACCATGTATGTTTTCTATAAGCATATATGTGGTTTATGTAGTGGCCGAAGAGAACTCTCTCTTCTCCATAGCTGCATCCGTCAAGTGAAGGGATTCTTTATAATGTAAACCTGATGAATTCCATTTGGGAACTTTATTGACTTTTGAGCAGGAGGGGAAGGGGATTTATTTTATAAGCCTGGGCATACCAAGGTGTAAGAAAATAAACGGAAAGATACTCATATCGCAACTTTCCTGTTCTTCCCAGTCCACTTTTACATTATAAAGCATTTATAAGGACACTCGGCTCTCCTTCCTTAAGCCCAGGGCCTGTGTAGGGAGGTGGGCAGAGTTTGGCAGAGGTTGGGTACGGCTCTCTCTATTCCACTGCCATCACAACACCCCACTTTCTGGGCCATATGGAGACAGAGTGTTTGCCAACTATAAATGTCCCAACTGTGCCTTTTCCTCGTTGAGGTTTCAGGAAAAGTCTGGTGAGTGACTTGGTTTATGAAACCTTTCTCTTTTACCTTTTTCTATCTGAAAAAGATGGATTCTTCTCTTTGATGATTATTTTACACGGAAGGACCAGAAATTGCTTTTGCCAGTTTCCTCACAGCCTGTTGCCATCACTTCTGCCTCCCAGCCTCCTGGGTGGGAAAGCAGAGATGGTTCCAGCCTTGGCATTTCTGGGTATCTGCACAGCAGGCATATGCCCTCACTTTGGGGCACCCCCCGCCGCCAGAGTTAGCTCCTTTGGAGGGGAATCATGTGGCCACTATGCCAGATTGAGTTCATGAGCCTTATGGGATCCCGCACAGTAATGGTGATGCTGTCTGGCCCTAGGTTTCATGTCTTCAGTGTTTAGTGAAAGGCTTTGGGCAGGTAGGTGGGTGGGGACAGCACCTTGGGAGGGAGTGCAGGAGAGGATTAGAAATGTGTCTGTGGTCCTGTACTCCAACACAGGCCCCTCAGCTTCTGTACCTCCCTTGCTCTACAAGTTACTTGACTGGCTCAGATCAAGTCGCCAAGTGAGATCTCTTGGGTTGGATTCTAAATAGTAAACTCACGGCTTATAAGGGCTTGTCAGCACCAACAGTTTAAAAGAAAAATAACTAGCAATTCTGCTCCCACCTCCTCCCCCACTTGGGCCTGTGCATCAGTCAGAGTCATGCAGGCTCTCTGGTAGCGGATGCCAAAGCTTCCCATTGCCGTTCACCATCATAGTGGGGCACGAGGTAAGGTCAGGACTCCCTGGCATGCAGGGGATCTGGATCACAGCCGCACTTGGCCTTTCATTATTCAGTCTTTAGCCAGAAAGGAAAAACATGAGTCAATCTGCCTCTTGATGCCAGAAGAAACCGGAATTCCCACATTAGCTTTTATTACATTCTTTTCATTGAAGTATGTCACTTTCCTGACACTTGACACTCTGCCCTAGTCTCTAAGATGAATAAAGTCTTTTGAATGCATTCAGAACCAGCCATCGTGGCAGAGCCGGTTCTGAATGCATTCAGTGAAATACACAGGCACAGACAAT